CCACAGGCACCGCCTTATTTTTTCTTTTTTTAAATGTTTTTTTGTTTGTTTGTTTGTTTGTTTAGAGACAGAGTCTCACTTTATCGCCCTCAGTAGAGCACTGTGACATCACAGCTCACAGCAACCTCCAACATCTGGGTTTAGGGGATTCTCTTGCCTCAGCCTCCCAAGTAGCTGAGACTACAGGCATCCACCACAACACCTGGCTATTGTTTTTTGTTGTTGCAGTTTGGCCGGGGCTGGGTTGGAACCCGCCACCCTCGGTATATGGGGCTGGTGCTCTACTCACTGAGCCACAGGCACCACCCACAAGATATTTTTAAATATTGAATTTAAGTTTCTTTACATGTTTTTTTTGTTTTTTTTTAATTTTTTATTTTTTGGAGACAGAGTCTCACTATGTCGCCCTCTGTAAACTGTGGTGTCTCAGCTCACAGCAACCTCAAACTCTAGGGCTCAAGCAGTTTTCTTGCCTTAGCCTGCCAGGTACCTGGGACTACAAGTGCCCACTACAACGCCCAGCTATTTTTTGGTTGGAGTTGTCATTGTTGTTTCGCAGGCCTGGGCTGGATTTGAACCCACTAGCTCTGGTGCATGTGGCTGGTACTCTAGCCACTTGAGCTACAGGTGCTGAGCCATCTTTACATGTTTTTAGAGAAAAGAATAAAGAATGAATGTAGTAAGCTGGGTATGGTGACTAGTACCTGTAATCTCAGCTACCCAGCAGGCTGAGGCAGGAGACTGCTTGAGGCCAGGAATTTGAGACTGGCCTCAGCAACATAGCCAGACCCCATTTCAAAAATATAGTGTACACTTGCAGGTGCAGGGTCAGCTACTCAGGAAGTTGAGGCAGGGAAAGTTGAGCCCAGACGTTGAAGACCAGCCTGGGCAACATAACAAGACCCCATCTCAGTTTTTTTTTTTAAAGCAATATACTGACTTTAAAATTTTGTCAGGAAAGTGAAATGGAGGTATAAGTTCTTTATTTACAGTTTTTTTTTTTTCTCAATCAGACCCAGGTGATGTTTACAGTTTCTTAAAAAGGATGATGGTACATAATTCCATAAGATACTGTTTATATTTGATACATTTCAAAGACTAAAGCAACAGTTTTCTCTAACATTAATAATGAGAATTTTTAAATGTTAACTTATAAATATCCAAAGATTTATGTAGTTTTTCAGAAGTATTTTAGCATGTATCTGAATAAAATCTTTTAAAGAGTACTGGCAAAGCCAGCACTAGAGTGAGGCAGGGAGACATCTGGAGTGCCGAATTTAAGGGAATTCTCACTTCCACGGTCCTGCAGGTACAGAGCTAGTACTTGGGAGAAGCTAACGGTTCACTTACATGTCTGATGTGGTATCTAGATATTTACTGTGCTCATCCCAGTCCCAGCCCTGATGACTGGATTATTCCAATTAGAAATTAGCTTGTGGCTTGGCGCCTGTGGCTCAAGTGGCTAACGCGCCAGCCACATACACCTAAGGTGGCAGGTTCGAATCCAGCCCGGACCCGCCAAACAACAATGGCTACAACCAAAAAAATAGCCAGGCGTTGTGGCGGGCACCTGTAGTCCCAGCTACTTGGGAGGCGGAGGCAAGAGACTCGCTTGAGCCCAGGAGTTGGAGGTTGCTGTGAGCTGTG